CTCAATGCCCCCCATGCCCACAATGACCCCAATGCCCCCGATGACCCCGACACCCCCGTGACCCCGTCACCCCCCGTGTCCCCTGCAGAAGGCCCTGCACCTCCGCGCCACCCGCACGTTCGAGGACGCCGAGGGCCGCGTGCGCCGCACGGGGGAGGAGTGGTTGGTGACGCAGGCGCAGAGCGAGGCCTACATCCCCGACGTCTTCGAGGAGGTGGTGGCCGAGGTGATGGTGACCACGCTGGGGCCCCGCCAGTACTGCGTCATCCTGGACCCCGTCGGGGACGACGGCGCCCCCCAGCTGGGGCAGCAGCTGGTGGTCAAGGTGGGAGCGTGGGGGGGCCTTGGGGACACGGAGGTGGCCCTAAGGGACCTGTAGGTGGCACTAAGAGACTTAAATTTGGCCTTAAGGGAACTAAGGGTGGCCCTAAGGGACCTGTAAGTGGCACTAAAGGTCCTCAAGGTGGCACTGTACGACCTATAAGTGGCCATAAGGGACCTAAGGGGGGTACTAAGGGACCTTGAGGTGGCCTTAAGGGACATCAAGTGGCCATAAGGCACCTAAAGGTGGCCCTAAGGGACCTATAAGTGGCCCCAAGGGGGCTTTAGGTGAAACTAAGGGACTGAAAGGTGGCTCTAAGGGACTTTAGAAGGCTCTAAGAAACCTATAAGTGGCCTTAAAGGACCTAAAGGTGGCCCAAAGGGACATAAGTGTGGCACTATGGGACCTATAAGTGGCCCTAAGGGACTGAAAGGTGGCCCTAAGGGGGCTTTGGGTGACACTAAGGGGACTTCAGGTGGCACTAAGGGCCCTAAAGGTGGCAGTAAGGGGACTTCAGGTGTCAATTGGGATCCTAAAGGTGGCCCTAAGGGACATCAAGTGGCTGTAAGGAACCTAAAAGTGGCCCTAAGGGAGCTTGAAGTGGCACTAAGGAACCTAAAGGTGGCACTAAGGGACCTAAATTTGGCCATAAGGGACCTATAAGTGGCCCCAAGGGGGCTTTAGGTGGCCTCAAGGGGGCTTTAGGTGACACTAAGGGACTGAAAGGTGGCCCTTAGGGACGTAAAGTTGGCCCTAAGGGACGTAGAAGTGGCCTTAAGGGACGTAAGGGTGGCACTTGGGGACCTAAGGGTGGCCATAAGAGACCTAAAAGTGGCCACAGGGGACCTAAACGTGACCCTAAGGGACCTGTAAGTGGCACTAAAGGACCTAAAGGTGGCACTATGGGACCTGCAAGTGGCCACAAGGGACCTAAGGGGGGTACTAAGGGACCTTGAGGTGGCCTTGAGGGACCTAAAGGTGGTCCCAGGGGGGCTTAGGTGACACTAAGGGGGCTTGAGGTGGCCCTAAGGGATGTTGAGGTGGCCCCAAGGGACATCAAGTGGCTTTAAGGGGGCTTTAGGTTCTCCTAAGGGACCTAAGGGTGGCATTAAGGGAGCTTTAGATGGCCCTTGAGGACCTAAGGGTGGCCCTAAGGGACCTATAAGTGGCACCAAGGCAACTATAAGTGGCCCTAAGGGACCTTGAGGTGGCCTTAAGGGACCTATAGGTGGCACTAAGGGAACTTTAAGTGACACTAAGGGGGCTTGAGGTGGCCCTAAGGGACGTCAAGTGTCCATAAGGCACCCAAAGGTGGCCCTAAGGGACCTATAAGTGGCCCCAAAGGGGCTTTAAGTGACACTAAGGGACGTATAAGTGGCCCTAAGGGACCTTGAGGTGGCCCCAAGGGACCTAAATTTGGCCATAAGGGACCTATAAGTGGCCTTAAAGGATACAAAGGTGGCACTAAGGGACCTACAAGTGGCCTCAAGGGGGCTTTAGGTGACACTAAGGGGACTTTAAGTGGCTCTAAGGGACCTAAGGGTGGCCCTAAGGAGACTTTAGGTGACACTAAGGGACTTACAGGTGGCCCTAAAGGACCTAGAAGTGGCCTTAAGGGACATAAGGGTGGCACTTGGGGACCTAAAGGTGGCCACAGGGGACCTAAACGTGATCCTAAGAGACCTAGAAGTGGCACCAAAGGACCTAAAGGTGGCACTGTGGGACCTAGAAGTGGCCATAAGGGACCTAAGGGGGGTACTAAGGGACCTTGAGGTGGCCTTAAGGAACCTAAAGGTGGCACTAAGGAACCTATAAGTGGCCCCAAGGAGGCTTTAGGTGACACTAAGGGACCTATAAGTGGCCCTAAGGGACCTTGAGGTGGCCCCAAGGGACCTATAGGTGACCCTAAGGAACCCAAAGGTGGCACTAAGGGGGCTTTAGATGGCCCTTGGGGACCTAAGGGTGGCCTTAAGGGACCTATAAGTGGCACTAAGGGACCTAAAAGTGAGTCTAAGGGACCTTGAGGTGGCCCTATGGAACCTATAGGTGACACTAAGGGACCTAAATTTGGCCATAAGGGACCTTGGGGTGGTACTTGGTGACTTAAGGGTGGCCATAAAGGGACTTTAGGTGGCACTAAGGGACCTAAAGGTGGCACTAAGGGGGCTTTATGTGGCCATAAGGAACTCTGAGGTGGCCATAAGGGACCTAAGGGTGGTCCCAAGGAGGCTTTAGGTGACACTAAGGGGGGTTTGGGTCACAGTAAGGGACCTAAAGGTGGCATTAAGGCACGTAAGGGTGGCACTTGGGGACCTAAGGATGGCCATAAAGGGACTTTAGGTGGCTCTAAGGGACCTGTGGGTGGCCATAAGGGACTTAAAGGTGGCACTGAGGGGGCTTTAGGTGACACCAAGGGACCTAAATTTGGCCATGAGAGACCAATAAGTGACACTAGGGGACATCTGATGGCCCTAAGGAACCAATAGGTGGCACTAAGGGACCTGTAAGTGGCACTAAAGGACCTAAAGGTGGCACTGTGGGACCTGGAAGTGGCCATAAAGGACCTAAGGGGGGTACTAAGGGACCTTGAGGTGGCCCTAAGGGACCTAAAGGTGGCACTAAGTGACCTAAGGGTGTCACTAAGGGACCTGTAAGTGGCCCTAAGGGACCTTGAGGTGGCCCCAAGGGACCTATAGGTGACCTTAAGGGACATCAAGTGGCTTTAAGGGGACTTTAGGTGACCTAAGGGACCTAAGGGTGGCCTTAAGGGACCTATAAGTGGCACTAAGGAACATAAATGTGGCTCTAAGGGACCTTGAGGTGGCCCTATGGGACCTAAAGGTGGCACTAAGGGACCTAAATTTGACCATAAGGGACCCTGGGGTGGCACTAAGGGACGTAAGGGTGGCACTTGGGGACCTAAGGGTGGCCATAAAGGGACTTCAGGTGGCTCTAAGGGACCTATAGGCTTTAAGGGGGCTGTAGGTGCCCCCAGGGGACCTAAAGTTGACCTTAAGGGACCGAAAGATGGCCCTAAGGGGGCTTCAGGTGACACTAAGGGACCTAAAGGTGGCACTAAGGGGGCTTTAGATGGCCCTAAGGGAGCCTTGGTGGCACTAAGGGCCCTAAAGGTGGCAGTAAGGGGACTTCAGGTGTCACTTGGGGACCTAAAGGTGGCCCTAAGGGACCTATAAGTGGCACTAAGGGACCTAAAGGTGGCACTAAGGGGGCTTTAGATGGGCCTTGGGGACCTAAGGGTGGCCTTAAGGGACCTATAAGTGGCACTAAGGGACCTAAAGGTGGCACTAAGGGGGCTTTAGATGGGCCTTGGGGACCTAAGGGTGGCCCTAAGGGACCTATAAGTGGCACTAAGGGACCTATAGGTGCCCCTATGGGACCTATAGGTGGCACTAAGGGACCTAAATTTGGCCATAAGGGACCTAAGGGTGGCCCTAAGGGGACTTTAAGTGACACTAAGGGGGCTTGAGGTGGCCCTAAGGGACATAAATGTGGCACTATGGGACCTATAAGTGGCACTAAGGGACCTAAAGGTGGCCCTAAGGGACCTATAAGTGGCACTAAGGGACCTAAAGGTGGCCCTAAGGGACCTATAAGAGGCACTAAGGGACCTATAGGTGGCCCTATGGGACCTATAAGTGGCCCTAAGGGACTGAAAGGTGGCACTAGGGGGGCTTTAGATGGCCCTAAGGGACCTAAGGGTGGCCTTAAGGGACCTATAAGTGGCACTAAGGGACCTAAAAGTGGCTCTAAGGGACCTTGAGGTGACCCTATGGTACCTGTAGGTGGCACTAAGGGACCTAAATTTGGCCTTAAGGGACCTTGGGGTGGCCCTAAGGGACATAAGGGTGGCACTTGGGGACTTCAGGGTGGCCATAAAGGGACTTTGGGTGGCACTAAGGGACCTAAAAGGTGGAACTAAGGGGGCTTTAGGAGGCCCCAAGGGACTTAGAGGTGGCCATAAGGGACCTAAATTTGGGCATAAGTCACCTAAAGGTGGCCCTAAGGGACCTATAGGTGGCCCTAAGGGGGCTTTAGGTGACTTTAAGGGACATAAAGTTGGCCTTAAGGGACCTAAAAGTGGCCCTAAGGGAGCTTGAGGTGGCACTAAGGGACCTAAAGGCGGCTGTAAAGGACCTATAAGTGACCTTAAAGGAGACAAAGGTGGCACTAAGGGACCTACAAGTGGCCTCAAGGGGGCTTTAGGTGACACTAAGGAGACTTTAAGTGGCTCTGAGAGTCCTGAGGGGACTTTAGGTGACACTAAGGGACCTAAAGTTGGCCCTAAGGGACCTATAGGTGGCCCTAAAGGACCTAGAAGTGGCCTTAAGAGACGTAAGGGTGGCACTTGGGGACCTAAAGGTGGCACTATGGGACCTAAAGGTGACCCTAAGGGACCGGTAAATGGCACTAAAGGACCTGAAGGTGGCGCTGTGGGACCTAGAAGTGGCCATAAGGGACCTAAGGGGGGTACTAAGGGACCTTGAGGTGGCATTTGGGGACCTAAAGGTGGCCATAAGGGGGCTTTATGTGGCCCCAAGGGACTTTGAAGTGGCCATAAGGGACATAAAAGTGGCCCTAAGAGGCCTTTAGGTGACACTAAGGGGACTTTAAGTGGCTCTAAGGGACCTAAGGGTGGCACTTGGGGACCTATAAGTGGCCAGAAGTGACCTAAAGGTGGCCCTAGGGGGGCTTTAGGTGGCTTTAAGGGACCTAAAGGTGGCACTAAGAGGACTTTAGGTGACACCAAGGGACATAAACTTGGCCTTAAGATACCTAAAAGTGGCCCTAAGAGACATCAACTGGCCCTAAGGGACCTAAATTTGGCCATAAGGGACCTATAGGTGGCCTTAAAGGATACAAAGGTGGCACTAAGGGACCTACAAGTGGCCATAAAGGGGCTTTAGGTGGCCTCAAGGGGGCTTTAGGTGACCCTAAGGGACCTAAAGGTGGCACTAAGGGGACTTTAGATGGCCCTTGGGGACCTAAGGGTGGCCTTAAGGGACCTATAAGTGCCCCTAAGGGACATAAATGTGGCTCTAAGGGACCTTGAGGTTGCCCTATGGGACCTAAGAGTGGCACTAAGGGACCTAAATTTGGCCATAAGAGACCAATAGGTGGCACTAGGGGACATCTGATGGCCCTAAGGAACCAATAGGTGACCCTAAGGGATGTAAAGGTGGCCCTAAGGGGGCTTTAGGTGGCTTTAAGGGACCTATAAGTGGCACTAAGGGACCTACAAGTGGCCATAAAATAAGTGGCACTAAGGGACCTAAATTTGGCCATAATGGACCTATAAGTGGCCTTAAAGGATACAAAGGTGGCACTAAGGGGGTTTTAGGTGGCCCTTGGGGACCTAAGGGTGGCCTTAAGGGACCTATAAGTGCCCCTAAGGGACATAAATGTGGCTCTAAGGGACCTTGAGGTTGCCCTATGGGACCTAAGAGTGGCACTAAGGGACCTAAATTTGGCCATAATGGACCTATAAGTGGCCTTAAAGGATACAAAGGTGGCACTAAGGGGGTTTTAGGTGGCCCTTGGGGACCTAAGGGTGGCCCCAAGGAGGCTTTAGGTGACACTAAGGGGACTTTGGGTGACAGTAAGGGACCTAGAGGTGGCACTAAGGGACCTTGAGGTGGCCCCAAGGGACCTATAGGTGACCCCAAGGGTCCTAAAGGTGGCACTAAGGGGGTTTTAGGTGGCCCTTGGGGACCTAAGGGTGGCCTTAAGGGACCTATAAGTGCCCCTAAGGGACATAAATGTGGCCCTAAGGGAACTTGAGGTGGCACTAAGGGACCTAGAAGTGGCAATAAGGGACACAATGTCCCCATCGCTGTCCCCAGGGGGAGAAGTCGTTCTTCCTGCAGCCGGGCGAGCGCCTCCAGGCCGGGATCCAGGACGTGTTCGTGCTGGCCGAGGACGAGGGGCTGCTGCTGCAGGCGCTGCAGGCCACCAAGGACACCGACCAGGTGACCCCGGGGACACGGGGACGTGGGCAATGGGGACACCCGGGGACGCCCTGGGCCGGGATCCGAGGTGGCTCCGGCCTGGGCCGCCCTGGGCCTCGG